ACATAAACCAAAAAATTTTGAAACGTTTCTCACCAATTCACCGACCGAACAAACACATTTCACCATGTCAGCCAACTCGTCCTTAAGCTCAGATGACCTTGAAATATCTAAAGGGACCATTTTGGGAGATTACTATGAGGTCGAGGGTTTCCTCGGAGAAGGGGGCTTTGGTATTGTAACCAAATCTCGCAATACAAAACCCAACAAACTTGTTGCTATTAAAGTCAACAAGAGCGACCATGAAATTCTGCAACAGGCAAAAATGGAAATTTTCATCCTGGAGCAGCTGCAAGGCTTGGATGTAGATAGATGCAATATTGTGGAATGGAACAGCTTTTTCCTCGACCACCAGCGGATCTGCTTAGATTTTGAACTCCTCGATCAAAGCCTGCGGGAGTACATGCAGGACTGGAATCACCAGGGTCTCCCAATAAGTGAATTGAGGCCAGTGTTACATCAGCTCACAAATGCAAGTGCATGCTGACCTCAAACCTAGAAACATAATGGTTGTGGACCGCGATGAGTGTCCCATCAAAGTCAAACTTGTTCATTTTTTAGATCATGTTTTAGACTCTGGCTTGTACACCGATTACTATTTCATAAAAGACAATGATAATGGACCGCGCTGGACATTTAAGACTGAAAGGCAATTTCAAGATGAGACAGATTATCAATCCAAGGATATTCGATACATAAAACTAGTGTCTTGATGACCTTGAAGAACTAGTACTGGAAGATAGCAAAGAACCTGAAAATAGCCAACATTTATTTGTCAGCCTAATCAAACAGATGTTGGCCTTGGATCCAAACCAGCGGATAACACCCTCGGAGGTTCTCCACCATCCCTTTTTCAACCCAGGCCTGCACTGGCATGAGTAGCACAGGGGGACAAAACGTTGTGGTCTCTCAGCAGCCTTAAAGTTGGAAAAGAGAAAGATCACACAGAATCAATCTCCAGCATTGCTTCAACCCTGGACAAAAGTAACAAAAACATATGCAGGGATTGGAAAAGACCATTAACAGCAAATTACACTGCAAGAATTAATTAAGCGGCTCCAATAATTATCACTTTGGCTTTTCTCTTTTTCTTTGAAATTTTCACTCTCCCCCACCCCAACCAGTCATGGCAGATGGCTGTCCCTTTCTGAGCCTGGTTCTTTCGAGGTTTCTTCCTTTTAGAAGGGAGTTTTTCCTTCCCACTGTCGCTAATTGCTTGCTCATAGGGAATCACCTGATTGTTAGGGTGGCCAAAACTCTAGGGGAAACTAGCAATTCTTGTGAAAATTTAAAAGAAAAAAAAAGGCCTAAAAAAATAAAAACAACTGATGGATATGTTCTTAGACTTAGGCACAATTTTGCTTATAATCCATTAAGTAATCTCTGTGTCAAGTTCTTACCAATATTCAAAGCGGAGCAGCATTTTAAACTGTTTACATAACAATCGGGTTTTCTGCATTCAATAAGATGCCACACAAATTATTTGTGCCACTCCAAAAATTTCTGTCCACTATAAAGAAGAACATCACAGCCTGATACCTGCAGGCCTGATAGCAGGTGTGTCACTCCTGTTTTCTACCTGGAGACAGCAGTCACAAGACAACACATTAACTACACACTCCAAACACGCTAAACGTCACAAATCTCTCAGATCTCAAAACTCGCTCTCTCTCTTTTTCTCCTGTCTTTCTTTCTCTCTCTTTCTCTCTCGCCGTCACTCCTAAAACTTCCCCCTCTATCTAAACAACCAAATGTCATGATGCCATATCATTTTTGATTAGTCGACATGGTGCATGGGGGGGGGGTTGTGGGGTTTTTTTGGCCATAATCAGAGAGTGCTCGCTGCGCTGTCCTTAGACAGTAAACGTGACGAAACTATTCAGGAAAAAACACGCGTATATATTGTTTATCATGACTCTGGTTTTCAGTGGCCTATCAACACAATTTAAAAACTGGTATATATCACCCTGTTGCTTTGTCATCTTGAAGTGGTCATGTGATTGCCTTACCACAACTACTTTAATCTTCCTCAGTTAAACAGCAGCACTCATGCAATTGTTTTGCCCCCTAGCTACAGGTGTTGTGCCGAAAAGCGATCATCTGCCAGAAAGTGATTGCCGCCCGCGGGAGCGTGTGCAGCTGCTTAAAGCTGTAGCGCCCAGATTACTTACAACTACTTCCCTGCCACTGATATAAGATGTGGTAAGCTGAAGACAGCTTCAACCGTCTGTTGAAAAATAGTAATGCGACCGCACCGCATTTTCTTGTTAGTAACGGTAACGGCGTTGCAACGATAGAAATAGTAATTAGTTAGATTACTCGTTAGTGAAAAAAGTAACCCCGTTAGTGATGCGGTTACTTGTAACGCCGTTATTCCCATCACTGATTGTTAGCTCATAATTTTTTTTAAAGATGTCCCTGCACTACAC